TTATTGTACACCAGTAGTTTAATGGTCAGTTTAAATTATATTAAGCGGAATTTTGTATGCCAACTGGTATTTTTGCAATTCTACACTACAAATCTGGTAGTTATAATTTTCAAAAGAAGAAAGCAAAGTTCAGGAAGAGGGTATTTCGATAATTTTCTTCATTGAATACTTTAACATGTCTTGCATGTGGCTTTGACAGTAGCATATCCAAACCATGATTATATCGTTGTGAGTGATATGTTGCTATTACCGTGTCCTTGTAGACCTTTTTATTGCTGATTTTCTTCCTTAGATTTTGTATATGTAATTGATTCTTTATTTTGACAAATTTAACAATAATAAATTTTGTTCCTTGAATATTCAACATGAGCCAGTTTTCAGTTGAACTGTTAAATTTACTGATCAGCCGTGATTGATTATTTTAATTTTGGTTTCTGGAGTACCTCACTGATTCAATAAGTCTGAAAGAATAAACTCTGCATGGTAGTATGTAGGAACCAAAAATTATTGTGATTAGTTTCATTTACTTTGAAATAGATTAAAAGTTGAATCTGCTGTTTGGCTTGGCTGTCGGGTTAACTTTGTATCTTCTCACTCCTCGTTCACGTTCACCTCCACTCCTGCACTGTGTCCACCTTGTGCCATTCCTATGTAGAGGGGGTGAATAGGTGAGCTGTTTCTATAGCGCTTCCCTTAAAATGAACTGGGAGCTTTGCAAAGGCAACATGTCCTGACTTATCTGATGTTGAGATTTAATAAGGCCCTCACCTCCTGTACTTTTGCCAAATGCCTCCTAAAATTCTTTGAGCCATATGATCTGACGTAGATTGGGATATTGTATTCGTTGATTTCCAATAAGCTGTGCCATGAAGAAAGAGCAGGGGAATGGGACTAATTGGAAAACACTTTTAAAGAATTCGATGGACCAAATGTCCTTGCTTTTGTTGCATAGGTGTATGAGGTGGTAATGGCTGTACTGTTATGTAGGATAGGGATTGCAATGATGGAAACTTGTTTTTTTTAATCCAGTCAATCTATTTGAACATCTGTGACCATCACACTCTGGGAAGTGGGACTTGAACCTGCACTTTCTAGCCCACAGGGAGAGATCCCACCGCTGTACCAAAAATCTCTTGAGACAGATGTCCCACACACCTAGCATCATAGCAATAAGATTCACATACCAATTAATCATTTGTATGATAGGCAAAATGGTCTTTTGGCTTGATGTCGGCAGCCTGTTGCTGGTACAGCACCTGTGTTGCTACAATATAGCAGGCATGAAACTTGACGTGTTGAAGTACCTACCTTCCCAGAGTAATCTGAAGTAGACTTAGTTCTTTACAGCAACAAGAGTGACTGCCTTTGGGGCCTTTTGTACCCACAGACAATATATAGCAAGAAATTATCTGTTCAGTACTGGTGTGCTGCCCACTGTATCTAACGTTAGATTTGATTCTGTACTTGGACAATATTTGCTGGATAATTCTGAATGTGCAGAGAATTAATTGAGGTGATGCATTTTCGGAGGTCTAAAAGGCAAAAATATACATAATGAATGGTAGAACTCTAGGGAGTACTGAGGAACAACGTGCATTAGCCCATTGATCCCTGGAGATGTCAGCACAAGTAGACAGACAGGTTGATGAAGAAGGCATACAGGTTGCTTGCCTTAATTAGCCAGGGAATAGAACGTTAGAATAGAATAGAATGTTACTATACCTTTTGGTCTGCCAACAGGAAAAGATTCTCACAAAGTATGCTGTGCATGCCCCTCATAATTTTGTTTACTGTAATTAGATTCCCTCCTTGGCCCCGGCCTTCCCTCATTAGACTTCTCAAAATGTTCAAGACAGAAGGGCATAAGTTTAGGGAAAGGAGTAAGCAGTTTAGAGGGGATCTGAAAAGAATTTTTTTCACCCAGCGGGTGGTAGAAATGTGAAATGTGCTGGCTGAGAGGATGATGGTGGCAGGTACTTTCGCAACATTTAAGAAGCATTTGGATGGGCTCTTAAAGTGACAGAATGTAGGCCATGAACCAAGTGTAGATAAGTAGAATTAGTATAATTTGGTGTTTATTGATTGGCATAGATGTAATTGGCTGAAGGGCTTGTTTCTGTGCTCTATGGTTCTATGACACTAATTATACTAACAGTATGGCACATTTATGCATACTGGAAGTTTCGTCTTAATACACAAAACCCTGTACTTTGCAAACAGAACATATACATGATTGAAGCTATTTCAACTCCAAATAGGAGACAGCCATTTGCTGTATCATTAGTTAGGGCATTACCCTTAAAAATCAGAGTCGACCTGCCAGGTTTAAAATTTAAACATAGCCTAGCAGTTAACTGTCAGTCATCATTTCTTGTTATGTTATCCATGTCTTTGGCCGGGCCTGCTTGCCAATCAATCAGCGCTCTCCCCTCGTGGTCTAAGTGTTGCTTTACCGATTGAATTAGTATTCTCGTAAATTGCAAAATAAAAAGATTCAGCAAAATGTCATCTTTCTTATTCATACATTATTTGGATCTTTAGCTTTAATCTGATAGTAGACCGTAACTGGGAATTCACTTATGCTCCTATATATAGGAGTAAAACTAAGATTGTTGGATAGGGAATGCACCATATTTAATGCCTGTGTCTATAAATAAAAGCTTGAGTTTATAAAAACTGCACAAGTATTTTGCTTCACTGCCTGACTGAGCTATAACTGTACTATTACCGTTACATGCAGGTAAAGGCCTTAATCAAATTATTTCCTAAGCGCATAATTGTTACTTCACAAAAAGTCGTATCCAATGATTCAATAGTGGAAATTTCTCCTAAATCAGCTGATATATGTAACAGTTTTTAAATACAAGATGATAGCAGAATTGGGAGACTTTAGAAATTCAGCACACAGTATCATCTGCTGGCCAGATGCTGCAACTACATTCTGATTGTTGGTCTAGCAAAGTTGATTGCAAAATATTGACAGCCATTTACAATGGGAACTGTTGACAGAAAAATGAAGTCTGGCCGATAGAAAGCAGGGTTGGCAGTCAGCAAGTGTGCAGTTTACGCAAGATTTGTAGTCAGGTTTTAGACAACTAGTTTTAACTTTAAATCTTTGCCTCCTGTTTCCAGATTCTTTGTATTCACTTGAAACGCTTTCGCCATGAAGTGATGTACTCCTTTAAAGTAAATAGCCACGTGTCTTTCCCGTTGGAAGGTCTTGACCTTCGACCATTTCTTTCGAAGGAGAGCTCATCTCAAATCACAACCTATGATCTTTTGTCTGTTATTTGTCATCATGGAACTGCAGGCAGTAAGTAACGATACAATTCATTGAGACAGATTATGGCTGGCTCACAAGAGTCTAATGTTTGTCCTTCATAGAATGGAAGTTTTAAAAATCCCAATACTGACTTGTTTAAACATCACCCAAAGTCACGAAAAACAGTTGTGATCTGTGCCCCTCATTTAGAATTAATTTGTAAAGTTCTGATTTGGCAGCCCACATTTCAGTTTCTGTGAAAAGTGAAAAGCTAATCGTTGCGCAAACTAGCTTTAGTTGAATCAATAGCGTAAAGTGCATTCTGAGAATGTAGTTTATGATCTCGAAGGGAAGCCATCAAAGGAACACAGTCAACTCCAGTTAGTTTGAAGTCATAGTCTGCTTAAGAATTTACAATTTATCTGATTTTGTTTGATAAAACAAAAGTAATTTTGCGCAATTTTAAATTGAAATTCAGTAATTTGGAATTCACCTGTACATAGAGTCTATCTTTTTTTCAGTTTCTTTTTAAAACACTACGTAATCGTTAGATAAATGTAGACAAAACTCATTAATTGATACTTAAAGCTGGAGTGTACAAGCTTTATTTTCTTCATGGCTGTATTAATGGAGTCTATCGAACCTCATGGGCACACAGACCCATACATGCACATAGACCATCTTCCATTCCCATTAGTTTATTAATATAATGATTTTTGGTGTTCTGATTTAAGATTTATCCAGCATCTGAAGCAGCAGCCTTACGAAGAACTCTTTCCAAACCTCCAGGCCCACAAAACTCGAGCAAGATAAACCAGTGAGTAAGAAACACAGTCTACTCCTCTTAATTCAAAATTTCTTGTTTTATTTTGTTATGCACTAAATTCCCATTTAATTCAGCAGCATCCCCTTACCAAAAAAACATTGAATTGTCAGGAGTAGACAAAAGCCAAATTTAACTAGATTACCTGGCTTCCAGGTAATGTTGAGAGGGCTTGGAGGTTACAGCTTGGACACCCCTGCTTTAAAGATTCTAAAAGGTCAAATAAGAATTCCAGCAAAAATTTGTTTGTTCTTGGTCTGTTGATTCTCTTGATTGTGGTAATACAAACTTGTACTAAATTCATGTTTTTACAGGTGGTCACTACACAGCCTATTGCCAGAATGTAATTAATGGTCAGTGGTACGAGTTCGATGATCAGTATGTCACAGAGGTCCATGAGACAGTAGTACAGAATGCTGAGGCTTATGTACTTTTTTACAGGTGAGGAATGCTTTAAGAATGACAGCTAAAATGTGCAATTTAAAATCTGCTGATTCTGATACATGAATGCTGCACTGTCTGGGGTCTTTCGGACAAAATGTTTAAACGACAGTCCTGTCTGCATCTCAAGTTAGCAAAAACATCACATAGGGACCATTTCATGAAGTACATACAGCTGCTGTTCTCCCCCCTAGCCCCCACTAGCCAATATTTATCCCTCTACTAATATCAGTAAAACTAATTATATGCTCGTTAATTGCATTGTTGATTCTGGGACCTCACTCTGCACACTGGCTACTATGTTTCCCACTTCATGTGCATGATTATGCTCTAAAATGCTTCATTAAATGCTTCCAAGCTTTTTGGCACATTATGATAGGCTGTAAATAAATTTGTCGTTTTTCTTTATGTATACTAGTTCGATAAAGTATAGGGTGCAAGCTGTGAAGTATAAGTTGCCCAGATTTGAATCTTTCACGTTTGCATGATTTCTCCTCATGCCACCTGCACTGTTTAAAGCTCTGTGCAGATCAGTACCTGGTAGACATTTTATCATTGTATCAGCTACCCACGGTAATGTGACACGGACATCATCATGCGGCATTCACCTTGGATTGAAAAGTGACAACTTGCGTTCAAGCCATACATGTCAGGCAATGGCCATCTCCAATAAAAGACAAAACTGCTCTTGTTTCAGCTTGGAAGACAAAGAAGAAAAAGTCACCTTGAAACTGAAACAGATGTTTTCTTAGATGTAATTTGACCACAGATTGAACTGAACCAGCCTTGTAAATACTACAAATACTTGTGATTACAAGAGCAAGTTAGAGGCTGGAAATTCTGCAGAACGTAACTCCTTCCAGTTCCCTAGAATCTGGCTACTGTCTACAAGATGCATCTCAACAACTCACCAGGGCCCAGTAACTTCTACCACCTAGGAGTAGAAGGACAGCAGCTTCATGGGAACACTAGCGCCTGCAAGCAAAGCTCCCCCGATTATTTTTTTTTTCTGCTGAGTGTATATCTGAGTGCATGGCAATGGCTTCTAAAAGCGCAAGCCAATGCCACTCAGCTTGTGCAGAACCTCTGAGTGGCTGTGAGGGAGCATTGCCTGCAAGTCCCCATAAAAACACTGTCCTGACTTGGCAATATATCACAATTCTTTTGCCTTCACTAGGTCATATTCCTGCAACTCCTTCCTTGTAATGCTGTGGGTGTACCTATATTGCACAAAATGCAGTGGTTCAAGAAGGCCACTCAACACCCCCTTTTCCAAGAGCAATTAAGAGTGGACAACAAACATTGGCTGAGCCAATGATGCCCACATTTCATGAATAAATTAAATAAATGCAAAAATATGATTCCAGTGGTTGTGAAACAAGATTCATGCCTGTGGACTAAAAGGAAATTGTAGGAAGTGCGCATTAAGTTTTCCAGTTCTGATAGAAGAGATTTTGAAAGGGAAAGGACAGGACGTGGGATCTGAAAGCTGTTTTGAGTGTACATAATGTAGAAGTTGAATATTTGAGGTTGCCCATTTTTTTATCGATGTTCTCACTATACCAAGCATGTATTCATTTCTGCTAGAATAAGTTTCCACGGTTCCTCCTCCTGTGCCTCCTATATAATCTGATAGGTTAATTCTGCAACTAGATAGTTGCCTCCATTCAGAAAACGTTTTCTGAACAGCCTTTTATGTTCCAAATTTGCCAAATGAAATGACTTATTTCTTGCCAGCATACCGAAGACCTCATTAAAACATGCAAGATTCTTAGGCTTGACAGGGTAGATGGTAATGGGAAAATTTATTTCCTGATTTATCCTGCTCTTTACTCTTTTAGTGCTCTTAATGCTTTTGGATTTTTTTATTGTCCAATTTCAAGAGTTATCTGAGAAGCAGTGGAATATCTTTTTTTTTTGTGATTTCGCAATTTGTGCTGTGCTCCTCTATCACAATATTTTCCTCAGTGACCTTTTTGTTCTGAATGTTTGTTGCAGGAAGAGCAGTGAAGAGGCAGTGCGGGAAAGACAAAAGGTTGTAGCTTTGGCCAGTGCGAAGGAACCCAGCCTCCTCCAATTCTACATCTCCAGGGAGTGGCTAAACAAGTTCAACACCTTCACAGAGCCAGGGCCAATCACCAACTACACCTTCCTCTGTTTACATGGAGGTCAGCTTGTGGGATAAATGAAAGAATTATCACCTGCACTAGCTTAGAATTTATCAATCCTGGATATAAAGGGAAAAAAGGCATCCTTATGAATAAAAAGCAGATGTTCTTAAATCAGAAGTATTTGTGTGTGCTCTTGAACGTTGGAAAGTTGCAGAGTTATGTTGAGCTCTTGCAGAGTTTTCACTTTGTGGTTGACTCCTGAATTATTTTGTCTTTTGTTTCCAAGGTGACAATGAATAGGAAAGCAGTAACTTTTATTTTTTAACAGGCATTCCACCGAATAAGTATCACTACATTGATGATCTGGTGGTGATTCTGCCCCAAAATGTATGGGAGTATTTGTACAACAGGTAAGCACAAAGATTCCTGAAAGTAGAAGTGGACAGTTTTTGAAATGCTTTTTTCTTAAGTCATGTGTTTTTTAATCAGTTGTGCTGATGATATTTAATTTTTACTTGCAAAGGCAATTTTCTTACTTGGTCAGATCCAAATTGAATACGTGTCATTTGTTGTCAAAAAGTTACCACCTTTGTTCTCAGTTGTGTTGCTTTTGGGGAACTTGAACAGAAGCCATTCACCTCTCCAACAGAAGCATTATAAATCAATTGTTTTCACGATATAGTTGTTAGACATTATACTCTCCATTGGAGTATTGTGTATTTTGGGCATCCTCCCTCGAGGTGAATACTTTGGCCTTAAAGTCCAGTGACCATTTACCAAGCTGATCTCTTGGATAATGTGACTCTGCCATTATGAGAGACTAGATAAACCTTGATTGTATTGCGTAGAGCTGGGGAAGTGGAAGTTGATTATGGTCTGAAGTGTTTAAAATAGTGAAAATACATTGATAGGATAGATAGGGATTGATGCTTCCCAATGTGGAATTCAGAACAAAATTTGTAAGAGTAGAAATGCATTGACTAATAGAAAAGACCTGAGGAAGGGTCACTGGACCTGAAACGTTAACTCTGATTTCTCTTCACAGATGCTGCCAGAGCTTCCAGCAATTTCTGTTTTTGTTTCTGCTTTACAGCATCCGTGTTTCTTTTGGTTTTTACTTATTTTGCAAAGATGGGTGTTGAGGGATTAGCAGAAAGATTGGAGAATTGTGATTAACAAGAGTAGAGTTGCCCTCCCTAAGAAACTAAAGGAGCAGGCTCAATAAGTTTTTGGCAACCTTTTGCAATCACCGAACAATGTTGGCAATGTTGTGTTTTTCAATATTCTTGTCTTGTGATTGTGGCAGGTTTGGAGGTGGCCCTGCTGTGAACCATTTATACATCTGTTCCATTTGCCAAGTAGAAATTGAGGCAATTGCTAAAAGGAGGAAAATGGAAGTTGACACTTTTATAAAGGTCAGACCACAGTGCATCATCCTAAAAGGGGGAAAGTTAGATTTTAACTGAATTTCATAATTGTTTATTGTAGAATTGCTACATAATTTTTACCACATATTTAAGTAGCTTGGGCTGTCACTATAGTAAAATTCCTGGACTGAGATGCCAGTTCTTTTGATTCTTCCACAGGTGTGGGTGTCACTGGCAAGACTAGCTTTTGTTTCGCATCCCTAATTGCCCTTGAAGATGTTGGCAAGCTGCCTACTTGAACACTTGCAGTTAATCTGACGCTGGTACACCTCAGTGCTATTAGGGAGGGAGTTCCAGGCTTTTTACCCAGTGACAATGAAGGGGAAGTTGCCAAGTACTTTCTGGTCTTGTATAATAACTGTTCTGATACTGTACACTGTCTCAGTGTATCATGCCAAAGCATGCAATCTGCATTCAACCGTCTCACAGTGCCACTCTTGCTGTGGGTCTGGGGCATCATCTGAGTTACTTTTGCTGATGTTTTTTTCCTTCCCAACCATGCAAAAATCCCTGCCAGTGGCACGGTTGGGATTGAGAGTTTGCAATTAAATTCGATGGAATTTTAACAGCCCTGACTTTGAAATTGCTGCACCAACAGACTGATAGATTTAAAAAAACTTTAAGCATTAGTATGTGGATTGAGTTACAGCAAAGGAAGTACATTTTAGAGTACACCACTTAACAGTAAGAGTTGTTTTGTAACAATGCTTTCAAGCTGACTGTTAATAAAGAGTATGCTATTAATGTTTACAGAAAAATTGATTCTGAGAGTTCTATGTTCTGCCTTAAAGATCTTTATCAGAGCCATGCAGGGTGGATTGATCTCCAATCCAAATTAGTCACCAAACTCTGGCTTCCAGGTCTCAACTGAATTGTGGTAGAACTGAGAAAATTAATGGTTTTTAACCTTTGTCCAATTAGGTGTAGCTGCGGGTGTCATTTCATGGAATACAGCCAACACTATCCAATGCTGAAACATTGTGTCCTGGTCTTGGGTAGGTTTCCAGAAGATGCAACGTATATGAATTGAGGACAGATTCAAATCAATAAAGAGGGAATCATTAAATCCACACCAAAGCCCAGATGATCCAACAGGAGTGGTTATTGCTGTCCATTTGGTAGCACTTTTATCTTGCAAGACTGAAGATAAATGTGTACTCAGCCAAGTTTCATCGTTGTGGCTCTGTATAATTGATCCCTAGTGGAATGAAGGTGTACTATGTTTGCTTGCCCCTCTTCCACCTTTCTAATTTCCTTCATTGGGGCCGTATCGTTCCTTACTCATAATCGTGGCCCTTGAAATTAGTGAGACTGAATTTATCATGTTAAAGCAGCAGAGTAGGGAATTTAACCAACAACAGAACATAAGTTTTGGAAGTATGATCCATAGAGTCACTAAATGAACAATATAGCATTTAGCTGATGTGCCTGTACACAAACTTTCTGAAAGGGCTAACCAATTAAGCCCACTCCACTACTCTTCCTCAGACTCCACAGAATCCTAGAGTATGGATTTAAGTGGTTAATTCTTCAGTTTGTACTTTATTGATTAGGCAGTTAAGTAACTGAAATGCAGTTAAGGAAAGTATACCAACTGGTTATGTTTTTTTTAAAAGGCTTTTAAAAATTCCTTTTGAAAGGTCCTCTTTGGAACATTGAGGGACATAGGCATTGTCACCATATAAGGTTATAGAAACCTGGAGTGCAGGTTTTTAACCCATAGGTGCTTCATATTTGGTCTTATCTTATCAACTGATCTCTAAGGTATAATGGAGACTGTAAATAACCTGCCCCCTGTCTCCCCAGCATCCAGACAACTTCCCTGCAATTGGCAGATGGAACACACAGGATTTGATTCTAGATCATCTGCAGCTGGATTGAAAGCCGTATTGATTGAACATTTAAGTTGCTTGTATTCTTGGGCTGGAAAACAGTGTGAGATGTCTTCAGAAGAGAATAATTGAACAAAGATATCTCTGTTCTACCAGTATTAAAATACTTGGTTCCACTAGTTTATATAAACAAAATATCGTCAAAAAACCGCACTGTGGGCAGTAAAAAAAATCTTCGTAACATCCCTACTCATTATTTTCCTTTCAGCTAAACAAAGCATTCCAGGCTGAGGAGTCTCCTAGTGTCATTTACTGCATAAGCATGCAGTGGTTCAGAGAGTGGGAAGGTTTCGTTAAAGGCAAGGATAATGGTAAGAAACAATAGGTGGCACATATTTCATTAGAAATAGAATAGCTTTTCCTCTGAACCCCAGTGGTATGTAACCATTGAGTTTGAAGTTCAAACTTAAACTTCCAGAGAAAAAACAATGTTAAATGCTGTGAAAGTTCGATTATAGCATGAACTTTGGGGTCCAGAAAAGTTAAATTGTGGTTAAATGGACCTCTTCATTGCAAACAACTGCCTACTGTTGCCAACAAGTTAAACTCCTCGAATCCAAAAGAAATTTCCTGCTAGTAATAGTAAGTCTTGGCTTGTTGTAATCTTAAATACTGTGCTTGGATGATTTTTTGAATTTGAAGCATATTGACCATTGACTGGTTTCATTGCATTCCTATAGAACAATCTTGCTGATGTTATGTAGGTATTAATACTTGCAGTTACTGGAAATGTAGAGAAGTAAAATGATGTTTATTCTCAGCATTCTGTTCAGTACTAAAGTCAGAAGTTAAGTTTTTTTTTTGTCTCTTGCCATCCTGGTGGTCTTGATATAACAATGATAATGTTGACAAATTATGGTAATCAGTCAGTCAAGTAGTCTCATGATGTTTCAACAGTGGACATAAGTGGCTTATAATTCTGTATCAATAAATGTTGAATTAGTTATGATCACGATAAAAATGTTGTAAGATTGCCATTTTTATTGGAAGAAAGGAATGTTTAGGGTTTCCTGAAGAGATGGATTAATGGATGGGAGGGATGGACTCCACAATTATATAGACACGTGAATTCTGGATTCAGTGGACCTGATGGTCTGAATGACCTTTTCTGACTGGACTTGTTCTCATTACTTTCACAGCATATTCTTGTGGATGCGAGAGAAATTGAAATGTATTTGTCTGGAAACTGCTATGAAAATCTCCCCTGAATGAGTATAATTTTCTTTGCTTCTTCTAGAGCCTCCAGGTCCAATAGACAACAGCAAAATTGCAATCATTAAGGGTGGCCATGTTCAACTTAAACAAGGTATGGATATGTATAGTTTTAAATTCTCTATATAGTTAGAGAATAACAACTGTTTTAAAATGTTCCAAAGCAGGGTGTAGAGATAACCGGCATAATTTTCTTATCTCTAAATAAGTACATTTTAGAAAAGATGTAATCATACACATGGTACTGGAAACCAGAACTGGTGATAGATATGAAGCTGTGATGTTGAACGAAGTTCTCCTGCTAAATGCTCGCACGTCTTTGTTTTCTTTGGTTCTCTCACTAGGTGCAGATTATGGTCAGATATCAGAGGAAACGTGGAACTATCTGTTCACTATTTATGGTGGGGGACCAGAAATTGCCATGCGACAGAATGTGGTTCAGACTGACTTGGACAGTCCACAGGGAGAACGGAAAATAGAAGCGGAAACCCGAGCCGTGTGACCATAGACCTGCCAAAAAAAATGGTTGAAAGGTACTTTTTGAACAGCAGGAAGCAAAACTCTAAATGGATTCAAGGTACAGATCAGCCATGATAAAACTGAATAATGGAAGAGGTTTGAGGTGCTAAATTAGGTACTGCCAATCCTGCGTTCTCTGCTTAGATGCAACCATTGTACAAAAGTTTAGAAAACTTTTATTCCCAAGAACACACAATGTCACTAACAGTTTGCATTTTCATAGTGCCTTTAATGTAGTGAAAAGTCCTAAGTTGCTTTGGAAGACTCTAATGAAACAAAACTCAACACACAAGTAAGCAGATATCTTGAGCTTGGGCAAAGGGATTAGATATTAAGGAGCAAATTAAAGGTGGAGAAAATGGGTTTACTTGGTGGATACCAGAGCTTGAGGCTGGATATTTGAGGGCACAGTCACCAGCAGTGGAATGATTAAAATCAAGAATGCCTTAGAAGCCAGAATTGTTGAGGTATAGAGATCTGAAATTCAAATACCGGGGGATCTTTATAGGGAAAGGGGATGCTTTGAAGGGTTTTGAAAAGGAGGATGTGCATTTTAAAATTGAGGCCATCAACAAACACAGGACTTAATGCGAATTAAGGTATGGACACTTGTGTTTTGGTAAGGGAATGCAAGATAATGAAAGATTGAGGCCAGCCAGCAATGCCGTTTAATGAAGTTTAGAGGTAAAGAAAATGGTCCTTGTTGACTTGCTCCATGTTAATATTGAATTCATGCCAACTCTGACTGATCTGATATTCTGTGCCAGAAACTCTTGCGGCCACACATGCTGACAAATTCTCTAATCTATTGGGTCATCCTCCAGTGTTAGACTGGACCCCAACAAATCCAAGTTTGGGAGATGTCATGTTTATGTACCAGTACCTTACATCTCTGATCTGTAGAATTGGCATGCTTCTCCAAAAACACATTAAGCTGAGAAAATAAGAATGAGAATTTTTTTTCATACACCCCTCCAGTGTAATAGCCATATTAACAAAAGCCTGGATACTGATTGTTTGTACACTTTTGGCTAGACAGTAGAGTATTTACTTAGAATTTGCAGCACTGAAACTGACCAGTATTTATCTCTTCATGGAATGAGGGTCTTGCTGGCAAGGCCAGCATTTCTTTCTTATCCTTAATTGTCTTTGAACTATGCAACTTGCTAGGCCAATTCAAAGGCCAACGAAGAATCAACCACCAGGACGTCACTTCCAGACCATGTAAGGATGAGAAACTTTCTCCAGTAAATGACATTAGGCTTTTTTAAACCAGAGTTGGTGGTTTCAAGATTCCTGGTCACTGTAACTGAGGCTGTCTTTCCATTCCAGATTTTATTTCACTTCACCCCTACAGCAGCTAGTGGAATTTTTGAACCCTTGTCCCCATCATTAGCTTGGGCCTCTGGATTACTTGTTCCAGTGACCTGGCCATATGCCACCAACTTTTCCCCACTGGGTTTGTGCCACTGTTGATACTTTGTATGAGTCTCCTCCTATATGACTTTGTCTAAGTTTGAGATCAAAGCGGAAAAGCCTTAGCTAATTGGACAGTACTTGTGAAAAGAGAAACAGTTTTATCTCAGGTGGATGATAATATTTTGGGTCTGTTAGGTCAAGGAAGCATGACATTGCTGTGCAGACGTTTGCACCTTCTGTCTTAGAATTGTCAGTTAAGTTTAATCCGGATATGTATCCTATCCCTTCCTACTTTGTAAGTATTTAGGTACCCTTTTATAATCATTCTCGTTGCCTACTTGACCTTCCTAATCATCATGGCAGGAAGTTCGAATTCCAAGCACTCCCTGTGACAAGAAGTTTGTCGTGAAAGTACAACTGATTATAATATGAAATTAAAGTGATCAGCACAGAATTGCTGATGTAGTTGTTTAATCAACATTGACAATGAAACCAATTAAGGATGAACATTTTTGTTTTGCAGGCTATGATCCTGAGGTCAAGGATAATGAGCACTGCAACGTTTGCACCTGTGATGAATCTATGTGAGCACTTTGTAATTTAACTGTAGAAATCCTTTTTAAAGCTATTTTATTTCTTTCTGACTAAATGTACGGCTAGAAAAAGAAGTGCGTTGCATAATGCCATGCATAGTCGAGAGCACTCTGGATATACTAATGCTGTACTTGGATAAGTCTTGACTGTATTTCCTTTAAGTAGAGCCTACACTTCTGTTTGTCCTGTGTGTATGTATAAAACACACATCTTGTTCTACCAAGAGGTCTGTCATTTGTGTATCTTAATTACAGTAGCGATTTGGGCCTGCAATATCGTGATGATGCACATGCAACATAGCTGGTATGGTCATAAGCCCAAAGGTTAAATGAAGTCTTCACGAGATGGTTTTTTTAGGGAGAGAATTTCTCCCAGTGGTTCTAGTAGCAGTTTGGCAATGTCAGCGAGGTACACTGTTCAATGCTGTTGCAAATGTTGCTTGTTTTCTAATGTAATCTATGCAGCAGGTGTTTGATCTCAACATGTGTAAATATTTTTGTTTTGTTATTCCCAAGCTCATTATGGCTCTCCCATCCTACGCATCATTTCCCAACTTGCTTTATCAATGGAATTTGAGCTTTTAGGCAGGTTAGCTTGTTCTGAATTTTTAATTTTTTTTTTAAATGTTTTAAAAGGGATGACCAGATGACCTGGTAAAGAGCAGGAGTTCCCAAAGGGGGTACTCACCATTATAATTTGCTGTGTCATTGGCGTTACCAATATGCATTCTTAATTATGTGCCAAAGTTTCTGCATTGGAGGAAAAATCCTCAATATGCATCTTAAAATTTTACCTGATGGAGGAGTTGCAGGGGCCACTGAGCTACACCTCTGATTAATTCCCCACAAACACATGTTTTGACGTAAGCATTCAACTCAAGGACACAATTTGTTTGAGGAGGGGGAATCATAAAGTTAAAAGAATACAAAATGGTAGCCATCCACATCCCATGTAGAAAAAATTTAAGATTTCTATCTCAGAATAAAAATATAAAGAACAGCAAGATCAATATGATAATGGTGCAGACCCCAAATGCCATCTTCCTATGCTGTCCCAAATCCCTTACTGCTTTAGTATCTCAAAATCTATTGAACTCTGCCTTGACCATGTTCAACAACTAAGCATCTACAGCTCACTGTGGTAGAGAATTCCAAAGATGACAATGTAGAACTGAGATGAGAAATTTCTTTATTCAGGATTGTGAATCCTTGAAATTTTGTACCACTTGAGGTGATAGGGCAAGAAGATAGAGTTGAGGGAGAAGGTCAGGCTGATGTTATTGAAAAGCGAAGCAACCCAAAGGTTTGAATCACTTATTCCTTTGACAAATTAACTCATTTAAACACATCTTGGGTTTTGTAGTCACCTCCTTAGTTCATTTGCTTAGCTGATTCATGCATTAAGTTCTTGCCTTGCTGTATTACTTGCTTTAGATGATTCACTTTAAACAACATCCAATTTTCAAACTGGTTTGCTAAATTCTAGAAGTTATGAGCGTTACGGCAATAATTCTGAATTTAAGAGCATTTAAACTATTGTTTCCTACATGGACTGAAACCTCATGTTGCACCAGTTCCTCCATTAACTCATCGAACTTGTGAAATTCCAATGCTGGAATTATGGGGAAAATATACTTTTTTTTTCTGGATAAGTCCTTAGTGACAATAGAACATTAACGTTCTTTTTTTCTCCTCAGTTGGAAATCTTGACTTTTTCTTAGACGCCTTTGAATTTGGTGTTTTGTCTAACGTGGCTTAATCTGATCAGAGGTCTGTCTGTCGGGAAATATTGAACAGATGCTATTCTGTTCATCCCAGTCTTGTATTAAAAATTTCTGCTTCACCTTAGTGATGGTAAAAGATGCTTAGTGCCCACACTCAGGTCAAGAATTGTACATTACATTCTGCAATGTCAACTACTGCTAGTTCTACTTTTGCCATGATATATCAGGCTTTGGACTTGTTCTGTCAGCAGACCCAGATCTGTCCAGCTTCCCGCCACTTTTTACCTGAGAAAAGTGAGGTCCCCTGATCGTAAGCAAGTAACATTACTGTTTATGCAATGAATTACAGTTTAGTTGTAATTGAAGAGCACAAAATCTCTAGTCCCAGTGTTTATATTAGCAATCTGTTAAAATAGTTTCAGTAGCTTATTTGAATATTTGGGGATTTTGTGTGTTGTACTTTGCCAGTTTGGGATCAGTGAAATTTTGGTTGATATTAGCCTTGTTTTGCTGTATGAAGGTCTGTGTTGGAGATTGTTGACCACTTTCTGCATGCTCAGAATGGAACACGAGGCAAAATATCCTCCATTTGTAGAGAGGAGCAAAGAAGATAATGGGAGGGGAGTGGGTGGTGGTGTTGCTGGATGTGGAATGCAAGTGTTTGTACAAAGGCTTATCAGCCTGTCTGAATCTGCAGAGGTTGAGAATGCTAAAGGGATATTGAACTTCAGATTAAAAACAATAAATAAATGATGAGCTGCTTGGCCAACTCCAGTGACCTTTGCGTTGCCCCACCACTTCCCCACCCATCAAGTTGTAAGCTAGCCCTCTGCATTTCAACCTGTAGAAACCAATTATTGTAGAAACTAGTTTGATTTTCAAATTATTGTTCATGAGTTACCATCTCTTTTTTTTCAAACACTCCCCCACCCCCTTCTACTTCACTCCACTCCTCAGAGGGATGTATGATCTTGTAGTTTCCCTTGAAATAACATTTAAAGCTATTTGCTTTTGGAAGTCTATTTATAAATTGAGTGAAATATTTTTCAACTGCCTCATGGAGATGGTTGAAAAATTAATTCTATGATTTGAAAGATTAGAGTAGTATCCCAGTATTGGGGTGTAATTTTGTTTTCTGTCACTCATGCACATGTACATATTATGCATGTATGAGATATTAAGCATTTGCTTTTAACGAAAATAAAGAACACTTTTTTTTTGTTTAAGTTCTGGAGTAGGGTTGTGGTGCCCAGAGAGGTTGTAAATCTACTAAAATTTGGCTCTCTTGGTTACCAATAGTAGATGTTCCCTGGCATTGCTCACAATGGACATTTTTTTGAGACTTAGATTAATCAATAGCAGTGAAAATTTTCCAAAGTTGAGTCACAGCAGTTGTGGGCATTTTTAAGCTGTAGGCACCATAAAAGAGAGATATGAATATGCAAGACTGGTAATATGTTATAATGGTAGAAGTTTGTAAAACATGAGATTCTTACACAGAGAAGAGAATACTGAGACTTTAAATCAAGCTAACCTAAGAGGTACAGGATTGAAAATTGATTTTTTTTTCCCTGAACTCCACCTGTGTGGCAGTTTGGTATAGAACAGGGAAGGAAAGGTATTGATGCATAATAGCTGTGTTGATTTTTAAAATGGTCTTTTCCCCTTTTCTGAGAATATATGCTGAAGAGTGGTCCCCTACAGAATGGTCTCCATATCAACAATGGGTTGTTTTGCTGCCTCCTGTGTTAATATTTCTATGGTTCTATGAAAGCTGCACAATATTCACAGCTGTAATATACTTGCTGTCCATGCATTTGAACAGGTGTGTCATATATTTTCAGGCTGGTGTATTTTACCTTGGTCTACAGCCAGATTTATATATATTTTGGTGCAGTTTCTAAGAAATAATTTCCTACTGTTGAGTTCCTTTGTGCAAAGTCTTGTTTTTATTGCAGATACGTTTAAGAATATTTGTATGAAAAATATTGTGTGAATTATTTTTGTAACTAAATACTCTCCAGAATTTTTGTTCTTTAAAAAGTACTACCAAAAATATTGGTTGTCCAGTTGCCCAGATTGAAAGCATTCAATTTGCAAATCTAGTTGAGGTATTTAAAGAGATTCCATGTTGTAAGTGCAGGAAATTTTCTCCTGGAAACCAGAACAAGGTGACACTATCTTTAAAATTACAGCTAAGTCATTCTGGAGTGATATGTTTCCACACAGGTTAAAGAAAATCAGGAATTCCCAGATGCAAATGTTAGGTTGGTGATTTCTTTGTTCATGACTGAGATCAGTAGTTTTTCATTGGGTAAAGGTGCGGTGGATGGAACATAACTGGGCAAGTGGAGTTGAGGCATAGATCAGACATAGTCTGAGTGACAGTGATTTGAATGATTGAACAGTAACCTCCTTTTCCTGTGCTCCAAATCCCCAGTATGTTGTATACCTTATCAGGACAAGGAGTAGTGGATCCATTCTTTCTAATGGATGGGAATTGATCAGTCTTATTTTAGATAGTTAGTGACATATTGCCATATTGGTGGGTTATATTGCAGAGTGTTTGCAGAAATGTTTGCCAGTAATGGCATCGTCACTCACCTTGAGAAATGAAAGGTTTACTTTGTCCATGGAATAATGCACATGAAGTAGCTAGATTTTTCCCATGTTGCAGAAAATTAAGAATTGTTTGTATTGATCCCCTACTTCCCTAATCTCTCTCTGACAGGATACTTCCTTTAATAGACTTTTTGCTTTTATATAGTTCCCTTCTGAGTTTTGAAATTTAATCAGAGTGTATGACTAATTTTTACCGAACCTGTTACCGAGGGAAAATGCCTAAAGGTCTATATAAAACACTGCCCTGTCGCTAAGGTTTCAATATGATTCAATTTTGCTACTCTAATTATAAAATGGAATGTGAATCTCTTGCATTGGCTGAACTGCTGATTCAGTGTTATAATGTGTTGCCTTGACACAATTTGTAAAGGTGGGATTAATCTGCTGTAATCTTTATCTTGTGTAGCAGCTGCAAATTACAAATTTAAATTATTCTCTCAATTGTACACTTAACGTGATGGGGTTCATTATTGCTTCATAAGTAATGCGGAGCTGTTAAGTGCATAAATAAAGTGAAATAAATGGCATGAATAGCTTTATTAATTCCTCCTTCATTTAATTGTACAGTCTGAACAATTGCCAGTACGACACATTTTAGCAAAATTGATTTTAAGAATGTATAGTTTTGTGTATTTTTTTTTTCAAAGTCTGTTTATTGTTCATTTACAAATGTTTTCAATATTCACAAACATTCATGCAAACCATACAGAGCCACTTTATTTAGCCATGATATGGTGGTGCCGGTGTTGGACTGGTGTGGACAAAGTCAGAAGTCAGGCGACACCTGGTTATAGCCCAACAGGTTTAATTGAAATTTCAACCTTTTAGAGCGCTGCTCCTTCAGGTGAACTTCACCTGTTGAAACAGCAACACTCAAAGCTCGTGATTTCAAATAAACCTGTTACACTATGACCTGGTGTTGTGACTTCTGACTTTATTTAGCTACATGTCGGTGAAATGATTAGTTTTACTCCATTTTTCCATCCATTCCATTTGACACAAAGTTTAAAAAGTCCCACATCTCGCTTGGCTGAAAGCTTGTCATTTCCATTTTAATAATCACCATTTACAAAGCTAGAAACCAATTTTCTTTAGAAAATAAACTATTTTGTATGACTAATCATCATTTTCTTGCACTGTACATGTCATGAAATGGCTAAGGGGCTAGTTTTCATGTAGCAAATATAGATTTCACAAAAGACTGATTTCTGACACTATTTAGTAACTACTAAAAGCAGAAGGGTTTTCCGTGATGAGAAAAAGATTAGTCCATCATTACATGGCAAAGATTAATGTGCATGCATGTCCAATTCATAATTGTATAAACTGTCCTAAATTTCATAATCATCAAACCACTTTATTTTTGAATTGCTTAACTATATTTATAGCAATACACTGGTTGCCTCAGTTGCTGAAATCCTGTTTCTCACTTTGGAAGTTCAATTGGTGCAATATCTGCCTGCATCAGTGTGTTTTGACTGTAGCAAAAAAATCCTCTTAGACCAATTGGAGAACTTACAGCATCGTGGAATCCATCAGAAATTTGTGATGTGGAGCAGTTTGTTTTTCTCATCCAGTTTAAAGCTTCACTCATGTTTAGCTCCTCCACAAAGGCAGCAGGATTTTCTCAATGAGTTCATACAGAAGATCCCACTGTATTGGCACATAACCTTGTCTGTACATGCCGATTTGGAGCAGTTGTGACATGTTCCCATGGCTTAATAACAAAAATAACTAAAAACAGTGCTGGAGAAACTCAGCGGGTCTGGCAGCATCTATGGAGACAAGAAGAGTCTTAACATTGAGTCCCGTATGACACTTCTTTGGAAAGTTAAAACATTAACGGTTTCTCTTTCTGCCAGACCTGTCTGAATTTCTCCAGCACTTCCTGGTTTATTTCAGATTTCCAGCATCTGCAGTATTTTGCTTTTAATGACAAGTGTTCTGTCTTGAGTTTTCTTGCCCTATTTAAGAAATTCCAATGAGAAGTGGCTCATTCAGAGTTTGCACTTAGATTTCTACAAAACTGGAAATGTTCCTTCATGTGAGTAGGCTAACCTACTTTTTGTTTTATGACATTTCACTTGAGTCAAAGATAGACCAATCTTAGAAGTCAGCATCTTGAGCCAACTTATCATTTGAACTGCGCTATCAAAGTTTGGACATAAGATTGTCAAAAGGCATGAATTGTCAACTATGGAATCAACTGGTCAAGCATCGTAGTGTAGCATGTGTTTGCTTTAGACCAACCTACCATGCCCCAGTGCTGTTGAGGAGACCTCTGTGACTAAGGGAGAAACTTGAACCTCTGTATAAAGTTGAGGCTTAAAAAATAATTTTCTGAATTTGGGGAAAAGGGAAATCCTGTGCATAATTCTATGATTGTCCTGTGATCTGTGTATTGTTTCTGATAACTCCTTCAAATTTCTAGGTAGAAAAAACAAATCACAAATGGATATTTTTTACTGTTCACAACCTTGTCACTTTGACACATGAAAATGGTTCAGCTCTTTCTTAATTACAAAAAGGAATGACCTGATAAACAGGATGTACAGGTCTAATGCATTTGTATCTTCACTCCTGGCCAAGAGAAACTTTGGGCATGTTATGGTCCTATGGTCCTTTTTTATTTTTCATGTTGAGGACCTGTTTGATCCCAGTATCTGAATGTATGGACAAGATGATTTATTTATTGGTTTTTGAGCCCTAGATTACAACGCTAAACCGAAATAAAAGGGGGAGCTTATTGGGCACTTATTAAATATGTTGTGTATTAAGAAACGTGAATGTTAAACTATCTAAAGCTGTTTGCCAAAGCAGTTTCAGTGAATTGACCTTTCAACAGCTCATTCGTGGAATAGAGTTGTCTCAGGGCACCAACTCGGTGCTTAAGGATGTCATCCTTACAAGCGTCTGCTGATCTGTTGGCCATATGGAATCCACCGGCACTAATTTCATTAGATTTACATTTGGTGGACATATGTAAGTAGATCTTGGACATGTTCTGGTGTCCTGCTCCAGAACTAAAATGAGTACAGCAGGCAATTTTTTATCCAAATAAACATTCTTTCATTAAAGAAAACTCCAATGAAGCGTTGGTTTTGATTTTGTTTTCTGCTTTAGTTTGTCAAAAGTTGAAGGTGGGATGTGGTGCTAAGCGGGTGAGCCTTCCAAGCCTCTTCCAAAAAAATTATTATTAATCATTCTGTTTGGCAGCAGAGACATACAACATGGAAACAGACCCTTCGGTCCAACTTGTCCACATTGACCAGACATCCCAGTCTGACCAAGTCCCAATTGACCCATGTCCCTCTAAATCTTTCTTATCCATGTGCCCATCTAGATGCCTTTAAATGTTGTTATTGTACCAGCCTCTTCCACTTTCTGTGGAAGCTTATTCCATACATGCACCAACCTCTCCTTGAAAAGGTTACCCCCCTCAGGTCCCTTTTTAAATCTTTCTCTTCTCACCTTAAACTTATGCCCTCTAGTCTTGGACTCCCCTACCCTGGGAAAAAGACCTTTTGGTTTTCACCCAATCCATGCCCCTCATAATTTTAGGAACCTCTATAACACCCCTCAGCCTCTGACACTCCAAGGAAAAAAGGCTCTGCCCTTTTCAGCCTATCCCTATAGCTCAAGCCCTCCAGTCCTGGCAAAGTCCTTATAAGTCTTTTCTGCACCCTCTCAAGTTTAATGTTACGACATACATCCAGGTAGGTGAAGCTTGAATTCTGGCCCCGATATGGGTCACAACCCCTGTGTTACAAGCTCCCACAGCACCTTTGAGCCACTTGATCTGATTATTTCCAAGCTGAGGGGGTAAAAAAAAGCTGACCTATTCCTGAGCTGTCTCCAAAAAATAGCATTGGATTTAATCAGAGATAGAGATAGTACGAACTGCGATGCTGGAGTCAGAGATAACACAGTATGGCGCCGGAGGAACACAGCAGGCCAAGCAGTGTCAGAGGAGCTGTAAAGCTGACATTTCGGGTCGGGACCCTTCTTCAGAAATAGGGGAGGGGGAAGGGAGTTCTGAAATAAATAGAAGGGTGGGGCTGGAGAAGGTAGGTGGGATGGTGATAGGTGAGTGCCGGTAGCTGGTGGTGGGGATTGGTCTTTGGGCTGGCTGGGGCAGATAGGTAGGAGAGAAGATGGACAGGTTGTGTCAGGTCAAGGAGGCGGGGATGATAGGGAGGTTTGGTGATGGGATGAGGCTGGGGTGGGGAGATTTTGAAACTGGTAAAGGCCACATTGAGACCATTGGGTTGTAGGCTCCCAAGGCGGAATATAAGGTGCTGCTCCTCCAGTTTCTGGGTGGCGTC